TTTTTATTCCATCAATTCCTGGTGCCTTGTTCTTTGCCAACTCCTTCTATGCACCTTGGACTTCATCCCTGAGTATCAGTGGCTCTTGATCATATGGTACTTCTTGAAACGGTTGAACATTAACCATTTCCTTTTTGTACAGAGACACTGTTCCTTCCATCTTCTCTTGATGCTTTCTGCATCATTCAATAATTTGCCCAGAGAATCTTGAAGTAATGAAAGTCGAGGCTTGAATTTTTTCTTCAGTTCCCCCAGCTTGAGAAATGCTGAGCATGTTCTTCCTTTTTGGTTTTCTGCTTATAAATCTTTGCACATTTTATTATAATATTTGGCTTTATCATCTCGAGCTGATCTTTGAAATTTTCTGTCCAGCTTTGGACCTCCTCATTTCTTCCATTTGCTTTAGCATCTCTATGATAGAGAGCAAGTTTCAGTGTCTCTTCTGGCATCCCTTTTGATCTTTTCCTTCTTTCTTGTCTTCTTCATGTCTTGTTGCTCTCTTCACGTATGATGTTCTTGATGTCATCCCACAACTCTTTTTGTCTTTGGTCTTTAGTGTTTAATGTATTAAATCTGTTCTTCAGATGATCTCTAAATTCAGATGGGATATATTCCAGGTCATATTTTGGCTCTCGTGGACTTGTTTTCATTTTCTTCAGCTTCAGTTTGAATTTGCATATCAGTAATTGATGGTCTGTTCCACAGTCTGCCCCTGGCCTTGTTTTCACTGATGATATGGAGCTTTTCCATCTTCTCTTTCTGCAGATGTAGTCAATTTGATTTCTATGTTTTCCATCTGGCGAGGTCCATGTGTATAGTCGTCTGTTATGCTGTCTAAAGAAGGTATTTGAAATGAACAAATCATTGGTTTTGCAGAATTCTATCATGCGTTCTCCAGCATCATTTCTATCACCAAGGCCATATTTTCCAACTACTGGTCCTTCCTCTTTGCTCCCAGCCTTTGCATTCCAGTCACCAGAAATGCTCAATATATCTTGATTGCATGTTTGATCGATTTCAGATTGAGGAAGTTGGTGGAATTCTTCTATTTCATCCTCACTGGCTTTAGTGGTTGGTGCATAAATTTGAATATTAGTGGTATTAACTGGTCTTCCCTGTAGGTGCATGGATATTATCGTGTCACTTATAGCGTTGTATCTCATGGCTGATCTGGATATGTTCTTTTTGACGATGAATGCAACACCATTCCTTTTCAATTTGTTATTCCCTGCATAGTAAACCATGTGGTTGTCAGATTCAAAATGGCCAATACCAGTCTATTTCTGCTCACTAATGCCTAAGATATCGATGTTTATTCGTTCCATTTCATTTTTGACAACTTCCAATTTTCCCGGATTCATACATCGTACATTTCATGTTGTAATTTTCAGTGGAGGTTTACAGCTGTTTCTCTTCATTTTGAGTTGTGCCCTATTAGAAAATGAAGGCTCTGTGGTCTTTTTTCCACAAGCTCAACTCCATTGATGTCATCATGGTCAACTCTACCTCAGTCTCATTTTGAGTGCCTTCCAACCTGAGGGGCTCATTTTCCGACACTGTATGTGACAGTGTTTCTCTGCTATTCATAAGGTTTTTAATGACTAATGATTCGGAAGTAGTTTATCACTTTTTTTCCTAATCTGTCTTTCTCTGGAAGCTCATCTGAAACCTGTCCACCATGGGTGACCCTGCTGGTTATTTAAAATACCGGTTGCATAGCCCTCAGAATCACAGCAACTCAATCCACCACAGCACGACAGACAGACAAGTGGTGGCCATTTGGTTTTTTGTCAATATTGTCACTTTAAATTTTGAGGGGATCTGTGCGCATGTATAGTAGAACCCTCCAGGGGTGGGGGTGGGGTATCCATTTGCTCTGGGATCCCCTCTAGTTACCAGAATGGAGGTGTGCAGTCAGGTAGAGACCAATGAACAATGGACAGATACCACTTGGTTCTGTCAGGTGTTCATGGCTTCTCTGATCCTTCCTCCACTTGTTCTCTCCCAAGATGGCGGCTCCAGAAATAGCTGAGCGTCTTGAATTAGAAAGCAATGGATTTCTTGATTCTCCTACAAATTCCTTTAGCTGTAAGCCTTCCAGTTCGCTAGATATTCCTTTATATGCCATTCAGAGTTCCAGCACCATCCCCTGAGCCTGCTTGGCCCGGTATTCTGTGTTGTTATTGACAAAGCTCCTCACTGCCCGTCTACCCGATCTGCTGTCTAGATACAATCCACCTAGTCTGCCATGTAGGAAGAGTTAAATACATCAGTAATACATTCACTAGAAAATAGAAGGAAAACATCATGATACCAGGGTGAAAAGGAACAGGTCAGAGCTGCATTATGCTTTGACGACTAGATGCTTGAGTGTACAGCGAGTTAAACAGGAGAAAACGTCTGTCTTCATAGATCTTACATTCTAAATGAACAGGAAGTGTTCTTATTAACAGTATACGGACCTGATAGCAACTCCATATAGGACGTAGTGTTTTCCAGGCTGTCGTTACGGAAGCAGACTGCCACGTTTTTCCTGTGGAGCAGCTGGTGCTTCAAGCTGCCAAGCTTGCTAGCAGCTCTGCACTTAGCCTCCTGCATTACAAGAGCATCATTATACGTAACAGTTAATATGCATTAAGTGCTTTGTGTTTCAGGTATTATCTCATCATCTGTATTGTTGTAAAGTGCCGTGGAGTGGGTTCCGACCCATAGCGACCCTTAACAGGGTTTCTGAGGCTGTAAATCTTTGCGGGAGCAGAAAGCCTCATGTTTCTTCTGTGGAGCAGCTGGTAGTTTTGAACTGCTGACCTTGCGGTTCGCAGCCCGATTCGGAACCATTACACTGTAGTATCTTATTTTTCTCATGACAGTACTCTGTGATTGTTACTACTATCAGGCATAGAGAACTTGAGCTTGCCTGAAGTCTCCCAACTTCACATAAAGACAAATACTGTGGTTCAGATATATTTAGAAAGCCAGAATTCTTGAGGTATATGTACTTTTGGCAGTTCTTAAAAAAATGGTTAAAGTTCTTAAGGTTCAAATAATCCTAGTTGCAAAAGTTCTGCTTAAGTTGGTCCTGCTTTAAGGATCAGATGAACTATACACCAACTTCCTGCCCCTGCAGTTCACTGCCATTACCATATGTGTAAAGTGATTTAAGTGTACAGTTCTGATACTTGGTTCATTCCGCACTTGTTACAAACATTTTGCCAATAATTAATCCAAAACCCCACACCCACTACCATCGAGTTGAGTTAGACTCCAGGTGACCCTAGGGGACAGGGTCGAACTGCCCCCGTGGTTTCTTTAAGACTGGAAATCTTCACGGGAGCAGGCTGCCTTACCACTCTTGCAGAGTAGCTGGTAGTTTTGAACCACCAACCTTTTGGTTAGCAGTCCAGTGCTTAACCCACAGTGCCACCAGTGTCTTTTGCCAATAAGAGGCAAAGAGAATTCAGAAATAAACCTTTGTCCACAGGTTTGCATAAGTACTATTTTATGTTTGGTACTATAGGATCAGCACTTGACTGCTAATTGCAAGGTCAGTGGTTCAAACCCACCAGCTGCCCCTCAGAAACCCTATACAGGGTCACTGTGAGTCGGAACCAACTTCGACAGTACTTAACAACAATACATAAGTAGTAGTCAAGTTTTATATGCTAGTACACACCTTTTTTTTTTTCAAAAGTTGCACTAACTTTTTTTTACCATTTTTTCATTAGAATTGCAGATGTTCTTAAATATAATTTACTTTAATAAAGCTTTGTCTTTTCAGTTTTAGGAGTTGATCTTATGTTTATTTATCTTCTTTTCCAGACTCTGAAGTCCACCAAGAAAGTTCAAATGAGGACTCTCTGTTCGAATGGTTAAACACATTTCGCCGTAACAGAAATGCTACTCGCAGTGGACAGAATGGGAACCAGACTTGGAGAGCTGTGAGTCGAACAAACCCAAATAGCGGAGAGTTTCGCTTCAGTCTGGAAATCCATGTAAATCAAGAGAATAGAGGGTTAGAGACTGCCAGCGAAGCAGATCCAGGCCCCCCACTCCAGGACATTAACAGAGATCTGGCGAGTAGCGGGCCTCCCAGATCAGGTAGCCCTGTGGCCAGCCGGACAAGAAGCCGAAGCTCACCAAGTCTCAGAGGGAGTCGTTCTAGTGTGCCGAGGACTCGGCGTGCTGCAGGAGAGCAGAATCAAGCAGATACCTCTTATTCCACATTGAGGAGATTACGGAGTGGGGTGAGGGGCCCAGTTGGCCTTCCCAGGACTCAGGTTCCCCTTGATCACACCTATGAGACGGAGGGTAGTGAACGAAGACACGGGGAGGGACAGCGCTTTGGAGCAGCACATGTGTGGGAGAACGGGGCTAGAACTAATGTCACAGTGAGGAATACAAACCAAAGACTAGAGCCAATTAGGTTACGGTCTTCATTCAGTAGTCGCAGCCGTTCCCCAATTCAGAGACCGGGTGGAGCTAGTCCCCGTAGTTCCCAGAGAGAAAGCAGGCCTTCCCAGCACACAATTAGAAGGCCTGTTAGGAGAGCTGTAACCCCCGTCTTCTCGGAGCAAGATGGAGAGCCCAGAGATAGCCCACAGACCCCAGTCTCTAATTCAAGACTCATGTCGAGAATCACTGTGGAGGAAGGAGAAGACTCCAGCAGGGCCTCAGCCAGTGTGCAACACCATCCAACCATCACTCTGGATCTTCAAGTCAGAAGGATTCGTCCTGGTGAAAGCCGAGACCGGGACAGTATTGCAAATAGAACTCGCTCCAGACGAGGACTAGCAGCAAACACAATCACTCTCGAAAACAATAGTGGGGGCTTTCGCCGAACGATTTCCCGTTTAGAGCGGTCAGGGATTCGAACCTATGTTAGCACCATAACAGTTCCTCTCCGTCGGGTGTCTCAGAGTATGCGTGTTGAACCATCATCTACGGCTCTTCGGTCGATTTTAAGGCAGATCATGAGTGGGTTTGGAGAACTGAGCTCTCTCATGGAGGCCGAGGCTGAGTCAGAGATGGAGAGGAGCGGCCAGCCTATCGCAGAGATGCGCTGGGACCTGAGTGACACAGTTAGCAGCCGCCAGCGGGATGAAGGGGTTTCTCAAGACGGCGCTGGAGCACGTGGTGAAAACGGCACCCCCCAGCCGCCGGCCGCACGCAGGGACAGTCAAGGTGACCAGCCGCTGAGACCTGCTAACACTCTAGTTGACACTGGAACACTGCCTATTCTTCGCCTTGCCCGCTTCTTTTTGCTCAATGAAGATGACAGTGATGTCCGCATGCGCGGCTTAACCAAAGAACAGATTGACAATCTCTCCACCCGGAACTACGAGCTCAACAGCACTGACAGCGAACTAAGCAAGGTCTGCAGCGTGTGTATTAGTGAGTACAGGGCTGGGAACAAGCTCAGGCAGCTCCCTTGTAGGCATGAGTTCCACATCCACTGCATCGACCGCTGGCTCTCCGAGAACTGCACTTGTCCCATTTGCCGGCAGCCTGTGTTAGGTTCCGGCCTAGCCAACAACGGCTGACCCGTCGCTCTTCAAGTTGCACTGTGGCCGCACTGATGGCCCGAGCCTTCCCTCTGTTGAGTTCTCTGTGGCACGAAGCGGGATGAAAATGAACAGATGGCAGTTTGAACTTTGTGTGTGTGTGTGTGTGTGTGTGTGTGTGTGCTTTTTTTTTACTTGCCGGGAAGACGAAATTTCTAGAAATTCAAGATGCAAATGTTCAGAGATCTCAAAAGTACAGGAAAGTTAATACTGCTAGAACCAAATAACCTTGAAAATGTCCTTACTTTGGTAATTTTGTCATGCACTTTTGTATCTGCAAAATCCAGTGGGTGGGAAAATCTACCTTCTTAGGACTGCAGACTCGACTTGGACTGGAAAGTCTCAGGTACTTGTGTCCAGACACAGACATTCACTTTTGATCCCAGGACGATGGCTTTTCAGAGAAGAGTGTCTGGCGAGATGTCCGCTCAGATCGGAAACTCATGTGCAGCACTCTGTGTGTGTGTGTATGTAT